CACCTAATGGATCCAAATGTTTTCCAGAAAGTGTCTGGGAAGTTTAATAACTCTCCCCTTTCATCACAGTAAAGATTGCAATTTGGTAAAATTATAAAAGAATTTTGTAAAGAACCACACCACCAACACCCCACCATATAAACACCCCCACCAACACCCCAGCATATAAACACCCACCAACACCCCCAGCATATAAACAGGGAGCAAACCCCACACCCACCAGCACTGATGATTACCTAGTCGGATAATGAAATGTCTAAAAGCAAACAACCAAGCTCAGAGAGCACCAAGGACTCCACAGTTGAAGTTTTGTTTTAAAGCTTGGCATGCGCAGGACTCTCGGGTATCTAAACTGCTATTTGCAAACTTCTTTAAAATTGAGAGGAGGTTTCTAGCCTTCAAGAACACACTATGACTTCTGTGGGCTCTGGGCACGTTTGCCTTCATGGGCTCCTGCCTCCAGAAAAATAATAGTATTAAAAATAATAGCTGATATGATTTTCAAAATATTCTTTGTATTTTTACAGAGAAAAGGAATAGTAAATTTATATATAATATTATTCTGTAATAATAATCAATTGTTGCTGATTAATTACGATGTCTGTCATGTATCATCAGTTACTAAATTTTAGTACTCATGCTACACCTATAGGTTACAAATCCCTGGTCTGATGTTCAAACACTGTGCATCTCTTGCCTATTTTTAAATTAAAAGGCATGACAATAAATACATATTTATTAAAAGGCATGAAAATAAATTTTACTTAATTTTTATTCTTTGTGATTAAACAAAAATTAAAACATTTCCATGGGCCCCAGGCCCTGTGCCTAGTGAATTAGTCAGTCCTGGGGGCACCGGGATGCTGCCTGTGTGTTTCTTCCTCAGAGAACTAGAAAGATAAGGCTCCCGGCGCTCCTGGTCATGATGACCAGATCTTAGGATTGTCACAGGCTATCAGCCTCTCAGTACCAATTGCTAGGGAGCCTGATCAGGAGAGATGATGATGCTGATGATGCTTCTCGAGAGACTGCTGCCGAGCCGCCGAGGGAAGGTATGACTTAGCCTAATCCACTAAGGCGCTCGTCTTCAGAGTACAGAACAGAAGTTGTTCTTTTCTACACAGAAAATACTGCAACCTCAAGCAATGGGTGCCATCCTACCTGGTGTTTCCTAACCACACTCAGTTCCCTCTCACCTGTTCAGAGTCTTGGCCAAATGTCGCGTGCCATTGCGATTGGCAAGCGAAGGGTATTTCTTCTGCATGAATCCTTGCTCATCCTGCAGGGACTCACTGATGCTCTTGTTACTGTTGATATCATGTTGGCTCCTGGCAGAGGAAGCAAAAGTACCATCTAGACAATCTGTCTAGATAACACAATCTGCCTGATGGATTCACCCACCGGAAAGAGGTTTTGCAACAAGATGCTCTCTCCATCTAGCATTGGATCCCCCTCTAGGTTCTTCGGTTCCCTACATGCATCACCACTGACCTGTTGACCACCCCAATGATGCCGAGCTTGACAGGAATAACCCGGCCCATCAGCACGTCCATGGCATCAGTCCCAGCATCCATCAGATCCAGCTTGGTGATCACAGCCAGTGTCCTTCGCCCTGCAGAGAAACTCTTCTCCAGTTAGTGATATCAGACGGGGAAAGGGGGTGGGGTGACAGAGGCTGTTCCTTTATTCCTCGTGCACCGCCCCCCACCCAGTCTGCTATCTTTTGCATTCATTCAATTTATATATTTATAATTTAGATTTCTAAGGCTGCCCAACTCATTAGAAATTCTGGGTGAGGTACTAATTAAAAATAAGACTATAGTACATTAGACCAAGAAGACTACAAGATGGTCATAATAGGGGGAATAAGCATACACCATAAGCACACCAACATAATCCGATCCAGGTAGAATACCCTCCTCCTGTCCCCCCCAACCTACCCCAGAGCCTGGGAAAAAAGCCAAGTCTTCAAGACTCATGGAAAGGATAGGAGGACTCAGGGATGCTATTCCAGAGAGCAGGTGTCGTGACAGAGAGGCCTACTTCCTAGGCCCCGTCAGATGGCCTTGTTGGACAGATGGGGTGAGCCCATTGTGTCAGAATTTATACAATGAGCAGAAACAGTGGGAGAAAGGTGCTCCCTCCGATCACCCTCTCACCCACCTGCTTTATTCCCTTTCCGATTTATCTGTCATCATTTAAGAGTAGGTCTCAAACTTCAAACAGCAAATAAATATTCGGTTCTGCTGTGCTGACATTACTAAACCAGATTCCCAAGCTTCAAAAATAGAGGACTATTTTATAATATCCTGTGGCTCTCCGTATTTACTAAGTATTATTATCACGACTTCGTATTTTCTTCTCCTCAAGTACAACACAAATACAGCCATACCATCGGGGTCAACATCCCGTGCTAGTTTTAGTGCCTCTGAGGTGGCCATGTCAGTATTGGCAGCAGTGACAGCCAGGATTAAGCAGTTTGGGTTGGAGATGTAGGATAAGATCATATCTCGGACTTGATTCTCAATATCAGGGGGTTGATCTCCAATAGGCACCTGTGGTATTGCAAAGGCTGGATTTGAGAGATTTATAAGCCACTCTTAAGGAGAATCCTCCTAAAGTATTATGTAGCAAAATGTGAAAAACATAACATCTTTTCATTATTAACCTTAAAAAACTTCATCTGTTTTTTATTTCCACTCTGAATTGCCACTCTTAAGGAGAATCCTCCTAAAGTATTATGTAGCAAAATGTGAAAAACATAACATCTTTTCATTATTAACCTTAAAAAACTTCATCTGTTTTTTATTTCCACTCTGAATTGAGAAGGCTGATAATGCAATACTAACTGCATCACACCATACTAAGCACTCTTGTTTACTGCTCTGTTTCCACCCGAGAGGAAAAGAGCAAAGGGATTAGGAGCAAGTACTCTTGATTTATAGCCCTCACTCTAGGAAGAAAAACAGAACAAAGTTTGAGAGCCAAAAGGACTCCTGAATTCACACATCTGCAGTCTAAAAATATGGATGCATGTTTGAGAAATATGCCCTTCTAACTCTGAACTGTATTCTCTTCAATAAAGACCATATCCTCCAATCCAGGAATATTTCTGTGGCCTGAAAGGAATAACATGTTTCTAGTCCTCATAGCTGGAGAACATTATTTGTTCTAGAATCTAGAAACAAAACATGCTTTAGAATTCATCTGCCTAAGAGTTTAAATTATCTTTTTAATGTAATAGCAGCAAAAATAAACTTGAATATGTGAGGTCAGGGAGTGTTTGTTTAAATTGTACAAAGCTGAGAGGTGTGTGTGTACAGTGGGGCAAAAAAGTATTTAGTCAGCCACCAATTGTGCAAGTTCTCCCACTTAAAAAGATGAGAGAGGCCTGTAATTTTCATCATAGGTATACCTCAACTATGAGAGACAAAATGAGAAAAAAAATCCAGAAAAATTTGTTCTGCTTATGCTAATCATGGAGAAGGGGCATATACAGTGGGGGAGAGGCCTGTAATTTTCATCATAGGTATACCTCAACTATGAGAGACAAAATGAGAAAAAAAATCCAGAAAAATTTGTTCTGCTTATGCTAATCATGGAGAAGGGGCATATACAGTGGGGGAGAGGCCTGTAATTTTCATCATAGGTATACCTCAACTATGAGAGACAAAATGAGAAAAAAAATCCAGAAAAATTTGTTCTGCTTATGCTAATCATGGAGAAGGGGCATATACAGTGGGGGAGAGGCCTGTAATTTTCATCATAGGTATACCTCAACTATGAGAGACAAAATGAGAAAAAAAATCCAGAAAAATTTGTTCTGCTTATGCTAATCATGGAGAAGGGGCATATACAGTGGGGGAGAGGCCTGTAATTTTCATCATAGGTATACCTCAACTATGAGAGACAAAATGAGAAAAAAAATCCAGAAAAATTTGTTCTGCTTATGCTAATCATGGAGAAGGGGCATATACAGTGGGGGAGAGGCCTGTAATTTTCATCATAGGTATACCTCAACTATGAGAGACAAAATGAGAAAAAAAATCCAGAAAAATTTGTTCTGCTTATGCTAATCATGGAGAAGGGGCATATACAGTGGGGCTTATTTTCCACCATGATTTGCAAATAAATTCTTTAAAAATCAGACAATGTGATTTTCTGGATTTTTTTCCCCATTTTGTCTCTCATAGTTGAGGTATACCTATGATGAAAATTACAGGCCTCTCTCATCTTTTTAAGTGGGAGAACTTGCAGAATTGGTGGCTGACTAAATACTTTTTTGCCCCACTGTATATGCCCCTTCTCCATGATTAGCATAAGCAGAACAAATTAAACAAAATAACAGCATCTCATATGTTGATCTATTTTATGTAGCCTGCAGAGCTCAATTGAAAAGTCATACGTATTTGTTTAGTTTAAATGTATACCAGTGAGATTCAGGAGCTCAGAGGGAATCACATGGGATTTTAGCTTTTCTCTCCAATAAGTAAAGAGAAAAATGGGATTCCTTTGCTCCAGACCAGGCCCAGAGTAATGCCAAGCAATCAGGGTGCCTTAAGTAAGTATGCCTTTCCACTGAAGCTGACTCTGGGTGAAACAAAGCTACTAAGATTGTTTCTGTTACCCATACAAAGGTAACCAACTCCATCTCAAAGCACAAAATGCCAGTTTCTAGTGAAGACAAAACATTCGCAGAGAGTATACAAATGTTTACAGTCTGTAAGAGATACTTTATCTCAAACTACACAACCCTCTAATTGTAGCCATAGGATTTGGGGAGTCTTCCTGTGAAAGGTGAGGCCTTCAACTGAAACTCTTTTCTGATGCTAACAGAGTGGCATGGTAAGAACAAACAATCCTATACCTATTATTCATTTACACTCTCTTATCTTCTGCTCACCACCATCACCGTAACCCAGCTTTTCTTCTAGTTCAGTGGGACCAAATGGCTAAAAGGAATGGTCCTAAGAAAAAAGTGGGAGGTGGGAGAAAGGAGGGGGACCATTCATCATTTAGTATACTGGTACCCAAGGCTACACATTCCCCAGGTATTGCTGATGAAGTTCTGCCTTTAATGTCTTTGGGAAGGTCTTCTAACATTCAACGACTTCTAGGTCTCTCTTAGGACATGGGAGACAGAGTGCACCACTTCTCAGGTTCTCACCTTAGTGATTCCTGGAAGATCTACCAACGTCAAGTTAAGCACATGAGGCGAATAAATCTTCAAATACAGGGGCTCTGGACTGATTCCCTGGAAGCAAGAGAAACTATTAGAGAAAGACAGAAAAGGGCATTTGGACCACAACACTCTCAGCAGCAGGGGTGAATAGTTCAGTGTGCTGGTACCTTATTGGTCCCAGTCATCCGCTCGGTTTCATTCTCAATTTCTTGACGAATCTCATCAAAGTCAGTAAAAGTCTGAGGAAAGAGAATAAAAAGAAAGGCCTCTAGCATCATAAGGAGCTGCAGGAGAACATGCAAGGGTGCTTGCTTTTCTGCTTTTTTACTGATCCTCTTCCCCATCTTGCCTGCTTGTGGGCAGTACTGGAGCAGGGAGTAGAAAGCAGAAGAGGAGAAACCAAGAAAGAATAGGGCAGAAGAAGCGGTCCACCTCAAACATTTTAAATAGAATACATCATGTTATAATTTTGCATAAAATAAAGGCCAAAACCCTCCATGCTTTCCAATAAAAAATAAAAATCAGAAGCTACAGAACAGAAGAGAGATGTGGGGGCTTGGAAGAGCTTGGCTTTCACCCTATAAACACATTGTTTAAAACAATGGCGTTAATCCCAAGTGGGATTAGGACAAGGTGCCAGAATTACATCCTTGGGAAGAAGTTAGGAGTTGACATTATTTCAACAGGGCTGAAAATCATAAGCAACTTTTTACCCACAAACACTTCATAAAGGATAGAATCACTGCCTTTGGTGGTGTGCATATAAAACGCCTTCTGTCGTTGGGCATAAAATCTAAAAATGTGGAGGATCAACATTTAGTACGGCAGAGAAGCGTCTATAAGCCAGCAAGCCACATCAGCAACACGGCAATGAGTCAACTTACTTCAGTGAATGCTAAGCATGGTATGATAGGGTTTATTTTAACAAATGTGTAAGGTCTGGAAGGTAACAAATCCTGACCTATATGGTTTCACATATTTCTTATTTACATTTACGCATTAGGAAAAAAAGGGAAAAGAGACTTATTTTTTTTCTCCAGGAGTGGTAAGTGAAGCAGTCGAAAGAAAGCTCCATGGAAAAGAGAAAAACATCAAAATGTCACTACTGGATTTCCTTTTCACACAGAATCCTTTTCTGACTGTTCCCTTCAGTACCAGAGAATCGGCAGGGGGAAGTCAGGTCATTGAGACCATCCCTCCTGCATTCTAGACTGACCGCTTACCAGTCGCAACTTGAACACACCCAATTAAAAAAAGGGGGGGAATTGGTTACTTCGAGGGATTTTTTTTAACGTTCAATTCTATAATTTAAATCCATTCTTTTGAGTCTGGCGCTCTGGAACAAGCCTTAACCTTCTGCTGTGTGACATCCTTTCAGGTATTTGAAGAGCACTACCATATTCTCCTCAGTTGTCTTTTCTCAAGGCTAAACATACTCAGCTCCTTCAATCTCTATCCATAAAACTTAGTTTCTGGTTCCCTGATCATCATCTTGGCTCTACAGAGCCATTTGCTCTGAAACCTCCTAAAAGTAAGGTGCACACAACTGTACAGTATTCAAGGTGAAGATCAGACCAATGCAGAATTGAGTAGAAGCACTACTTCCAGTGATTTGGAAATTATATTGTTGTTGATCTATCCAAAAATTGCATTTCTCTTTTGCAGCACCCACATCACACTGTTGACGCACATTCTATTTGCAAGCAACTTCTATTCCAAGATCTTTTCACAAATACCATTACCATCTCCCATTCTGTATCTATGGATTTGCTTCTTCTTTCCTAAGTGAAGAGCTTCATAGTTGCCTGTATTACTATTATTATTGCTACCTTTAGCCCATTTCTCCAACATTTCAAGATTTTAGACATCATAAATTCTGCTTAGTGAAAGACTGGAATGAATGTCTATTCCCCCCCCCTTTTTTTTTTTGCTTTTCTTCTGTTTGGCATCCACTGTTTGGATATTTTCTTAATATTTTGTACAAGACAACGTGACAGACAAAAAAAAATTACTTTAGTAACAGGAAGGAATTCTCCCACCAATTAAGGGAAAACCACCAACTGTGATATCAATATAACCTTACATGCTCTTGTCCTCTCTTCCTGGGCCCTAAAATCCATTGTTAGACAGGAAAAGGAAAAATCTGAATGGGCGTGGGTAACAAAAGATACAGGGAAGAACACCCAGGTTACAGACAACCCATAGTTAAGAATGGAGCCTACTGTAGCAAAATTTGAGTTAAATACACAATGATTTGAGTTAAATACACAATGGTTCAAGCTAATTACACAATAATACTTATACAGTATTATACAATAATATTGTTCCAGCTTACATACAAATTCGACTTAAGGACAGACCTTGGGAACGGAGCGTGGGTAACAAAAGATACAGGGAAGAACACCCAGGTTACAGACAACCCATAGTTAAGAATGGAGCCTACTGTAGCAAAATTTGAGTTAAATACACAATGATTTGAGTTAAATACACAATGGTTCAAGCTAATTACACAATAATACTTATACAGTATTATACAATAATATTGTTCCAGCTTACATACAAATTCGACTTAAGGACAGACCTTGGGAACGGAACTTGTTCTTAAACTGGGAACTACCTATATATAGGAAAGAGGACAATATTAGCCTCTTTCCCACAACAGTAACTGCAAGCCTTTAAATCAAAAAGGAAACAAGAAAATTATTAGGCTCACACATCATGCTAAGCCGTATGTGATTTGTTTGCACAAGGAAACCCAACCAATTGTGATTCAGCAAGCTATCAATAAGCAATCCATATCTTAATGGGCTGTGTAAATAATATAGCATGAATTATTCAATAAACCAGGGTTAAAAATAAGCCATTGCTCAACATGATGCATAAATCCAGTCATTAAACATACAAGGTGGCAGGAGCAGGACAAAGCAAACCTGCGCATAGAAGTGTTAATTCTCTTTCTCTCTCCCCCCCCACCTCAGTGTTCTTATGGTGCGTCGCAGAAGGGAATGCCTCTTCCTTTTTTGGGTTACTCCAAGGACTTCATTTTATCCCCACTTCTTACAAGAGAATGGAGACTTTCAGGTCTTGTACAAAATGAGAAAAAGGAGTTCTCTTAGAACAGAGTTATTGTGTGATGGGAAAAGACAGATTATCCTGAACCCTTAGACACCAATGTCCCCCCCATGGGGAACTGTCACTGTTTCTCTCTGGGAGGATCTTCCCCTATTAACTTGATGTCTTTTTGCCATATTAGGCACCCACCTAGTCTGGCAATTGGCCTGGGCTGACTCTAACCATAAGTAATACCACCTTTACCTTGTGCTTGCAGTGCAGGAAAGTGGCCCATTCCTCAGGCTGGGCAACTGCGGACCAAAGCAAAGACAAAAGCCACATGAGAATTTTTTTCTGACACTTTTCCTACAAGACATCGCTTCAGTCAGTTCACTTCACGGCTAAGTGGGGATTTGAACCTGTGTCTCCCCAGCCTTAGTTTGTCACTGTAACCACCACCCTATGCTAGCTATCAGCATATGATTTTGCTTCTATCAAAAATGTCAGATAAAATAACTAATATAGCTGAGCCAGTGAAAAACTGACAGCTCATTGAACCAAAGATCTCAAATTTCACCAAATATATTTTTTCACTATGAGGCAACAACACTGAAGCTAATATATGGCCCGTTATTCCCAGTCACTGAATTTAGATTGTATAGACAGTCAGAATCAGACAGCATCAGCTTTTTAGCCTATGCCCAATGTAATCATTTCTACAGGATGCTTCCCACTCAAGCAATAATTCTTAACTTGTTCATCATTGTGCAGAGGAATTGTTTTGGATTACTTAATGTTCACTAGGGATGCAGAATCTTTATATCCTCCCTCACTGAATCATGTCTCTGAAGGACAGGATTTGGGAAGAGGGAGGAACTTAGCCCTGTCCACTGACCTCATGCAGCAGCAACTGCAGCAAACTGTGGTAACACCAAAATGAGGATATAGGCACACCATTGTCATTGTGTAAACGTCATGATTCTGTACCTGCCCTGCAAAGTCTGATGCAAGTAGTAAGTCACAGTACCCGCATGATGATATCAGGCACATTTCACACACATAAATACCCATACATGCAGGACTATGCAACACTATGCAGGACTCTAGGGACGATACAGCTCTTGAGGTGACAAACTTAGCTCATTCTAGCTCAACCTTTTTCAGTCTCTAAATGATGTGATTTATGCTCCAAGTATTTGGAGGGTAGAGGCCAAGTCAGTCCCTTCTAGATAATAATATTCCATCTGCTGGATCAGAGCTACAGAGCTAATGTTCTGGTGCTCGCGTCTCTCCTTTACTTTGTCACCATAGTGAGAGAAGTACCCCAGTCCCCAACTTTTCCCTTACCACTTTCTCCACTAGCTTTCCGCCTCCTCTCCTCCAGGGTTGGCACATGGACCAGCTGCAAGATGAGGGGCCGCCGTGTGACAATTCCAGAGCCTCGTGGCAAGAAATCCCGGCCTACAATGCTCTCTAGCACTGAGCTCTTCCCACTACTCTGTGGAAATAAGTAGCGTTACAGGTAGGATAAGAAAAGGCAGTCTCACTTTTGTAAAAGTATACAGGAAGAACATGTTATAAAAAGGGTTCCTATACCTCATGCTGGTTACCTCTATGCATACTCACAAACCCAATCCCTTAAGATCCTCTCAAACTTGTACATTAATAGAGATGATATTTTCAGCCCCCACTGCATCTTTAACTGAAGTTTACTCATCAGATGTTAGCTGGGGATAAGCAGAGCATGTCTTTAAAAGTTTTACCTACTGGTTTAACCAAAATTTGTTCTACTACAGAATCAAGCCGCATTATTAAGAATGGGCATGGAAAAACCTAAATGGAGACAGAACCTCACCTGAGAGCCAACTACCACAATTTGGGGCAGCTGTATGATTTCGGCTCCCACTGTGTTGAAAATCTCTTGTAGCTTATTGACCACAGGGATGAGAGTCTCCATAATGACGAAGGCTCAACTCGTGGAAGGGGGCTCTTATTCCCTAGGAAGTAAAGAGGACGATTAGCCAAAAGGAAATTAGAAGTCGCGGGAATTCCCTGCCACCACGAAGTCTTGTTTTCTTCCCTCCTCCCCAAAGAAGCACGCTATCTCATTTCTCCAAATGAGGCCCTGAGCAAATCCAGCCCATATAACGGACACGAGTATCCAGGCAGCGCTAACACTCACCCTCAGAATATTTACTCTGAACCCGGATACAGCTCCATTCACTCCACAATCAGGAAATACTATCGATTTGCCCGCCTCACCCCTTAGCTGTATTGGTCAAGTTCTTCAACCTTCTTTGTTTCTATAGGATATTTGTCTGTTCATCAAGTAAGACGTCAGCTCCATTGGAGAAGAGAAATATTCTAGGGTGAGATTACATTTTCATTGGCCAAATCGAGAACCAATCATGCACCCCATCTTGAAAGCTTTTCAAATAGACGACCATAGAGAGACTCTTAAAAGAGACAGAAAGGTCTTAGCAACCGAAAGCATAGCAACAGCCCAAGAATTCTTTTTAGGAAGACTGCTAGTAGCGAAAGCTTTTCGGAACGGCGGTTAAACTGATGACTGCTTCCAGCATCCCCTGTTTTGTTAGTGGCCCCTTGTATTTTTTTTTAAATTAATAATGGCGAAAATGATAATGCGATCATTTTACTTCCTTTGTGTCAGACTAAAGTCTTCGTCCGTGCTGGTTGGGAATTATGGGGATTGTAGTCTAATGCATCTTGCAGGTGCTGTGTCTGGGAAAACTAGTAAATCAGATACAAAAGGAAGCTGAAATCTGAATAGCTTTTGTTGTTGTTGTTGTTGTTCATTTGAGTCTGTTTTGACTCCTGGTGACCACATGGACAAGTCCATGCAGTTTTCTTGCCAACATTTTCAGGAATGGCTTTAATGTTTGCTCCAGCATCTCCTATTCCAATATGGATTAGCAATGAAAGTCCAAAATTCCACTACACTTAAGATCCACAGATCTTAAGATCTGGGCTAGTTTAATCATTGCACAAAGTCATAACTAGCCTGTTTGTTTTAGCTTAGCATGTTGTTTAAATTCTGCCATTGTGACTTGATACCCATGGTTAATGGCCTAGCATGCTTGGAGGAATCCAACTAAATGTTTATTTGAAAAGTCATGGTTAAGTAATCTATGGCTCAGCATGATGAGCCCCATTCTAATTCAAACTGTGGTAGGGGTATCTTCCCATGTTTGTAATTGACTTTCAGATTGGGAATTTGGCCATACCTCAGCTGGCGCTGAAAAAAAGAGAGAGCAGGGATTTCCACTTTCTGGGGGAGAATCTGCACCACACTGCTGGTAGTCTTCAAAAATACAATCGCTGTTCAAGAAGCAAATGATTCACCATACAGTGTAATATCCACTGCATTTAGAGTGTGAATATGAGACACCCAAACTATCATAACTATGAGAGATTTGTGTTTCCTAGTGACCAAAAACAATGCAACTGTAGGTTCCAACTGCTTTTGTCAAACACACACCACCATGCTTTCTTATCTGTCGAATTGAAATAGTTTCTTTTTTAAAACAATCCTTTTACTGTCCACCAATCCATAGGAGAATTAGTAATAAATAAACCTCTCCATCCCGACTTCTGTTTGAGTTGCCCATTTTACAACCTAATTCTACTACTGATCTGTGTGTTCTCAATTTCATAATCTTTAGTCATTTTCCTAACTGTGATAGAAGACTCCTAGGCTTGATTTTCTCTGTGCATGTAAGTAGCATGGGCCACCTACAGCATCCGCAACTGCAACTTAAAATACATCATACTCAGCAGCACATGGAAACCATGATTGTCCAAAAGACTGGTCATAAGAATAGAAGAAAAAATGATTTGTGACAAAAAATAGCTTTAGGAAGACAAGTTGGAACCCCTGCCTTTGTTTGAGAAGTAAGGCAGTCACAACTTATGGAATAAAACAGCAGTGTAAATCTCTCCCTGCTGCTTAAATTCCTTTTATTTTAAATTTGGTCACTTTTCAAAAAACATTCTGCTTTATAATGCAGAAGAACTTTTGAAATAGCTTATCGTAATTTTCAACATTTGATAAAGGAGTGTAGACTCTAGTAGAGATGGTAGAAAATCAGTACTACTGTAATCTGGCTGAGGAAACATATAGTACAGTGACAGTGCAATAGCAAAACACACAGACACACTCCTTAAATACTCCTTGGAGCTATCCCTTGTGTGAGAAGTCAGTGATCAAGAACAAGTCTCAGCAACAGC